GCTTCATTACGTTGACCCTAATCTCAGCTACAGCCCTATTGAACTTAAGAGATACAGGCAAATGCGGCCGCTTGTGCCAATCCTCGTTGGCAAATAGCTGCGGCGAAACTGCATGAAGAGACCTGCTGCAGATGAAATAGTCAATGGTGCTCTTCTTGTCACCACTGATGAGAGTTGGTACTTCTGGGATCCTGAGAACACCTGAGAACTTGTGGATCAGGGAACACTTGTCAATCGCATCGCCTGGCATGTTGAAGCCACCGCCCACGATGTAGGGGACCCCGATCCTGGATGGTTGGTCCCAGATCCCATTCAAAATACTTGTGTTCAGCTTATTCATCCCCATAGTGTCCCGGAGGTAAACCGGGAACAACTGGATGGCCCCAAATGCGCCGTCCTCAAGAAACAGCCTGCAAGACGACCTGGGTAAAAATCTTCACGATTGGCTCAGGAATCCAAATGCTCTTTGACAAGAACCATAACTCCCCCTGTCCAATTCCCATTGTCGTTACTCACCGCAGATGATGAGTAGATTCCCCAAACTTTCTCGAGGTTGGAAGCTTTCGCAGATGCAAGCGGGGCCCCAGTGAGCTTGGTCTCCTGGGGGAAGATGACATCTGCTTTGGTTTCCTGAAGAGCTTCTTTACGCGTGGCCCAGCAGGACCCATTGAAAGTCTGAATTACCAGGTTTCTGGAGTTGGGCCCGACCTCTCGGGGGCCGGGGCCCCGAACTGGCTGGGGAGGTTGCAGGCGAGCCCCTGGGCGTGGATCCTTTTCCCCCCTCGGGCGCCCGCCAGCGGCCTCAGCTGCTGCGCTGGCGGCTGCTGACGACCTCGCTGCTTGGTCAGACCTGCGGGGTGAACGCGACGACCGGCGAGTCATACGGGAGGCCATCTTATCTTTGAAAGCCTCGCAAATATCAGCGATGCCCGAACGCTGAACCCCTTTGCCTTCCAGGGTTTGCCCCAGCTCCTCTTCCAAATCGAGGTCTTCACCCATAAAAACCCATCGGGATCAGGCCAAGCTCCTCCGCCAAAATCTCCTCCATGATGTCCTCCTCCTCCCTCTGCTCCTGGGATGCGGCAAGCCCCAGCCTGCGGGGGTGGGAGTAGCGCTGAAGCCATCTCGGTGGCGGCCACGAAGATGTCCGCCGTTGTGCCCTCAAGGCTCTGCGCGGCCTCATGGTACTTGGCGGCCAGCTCGGCCCGCGCATTCTCGCCCATGCCCCCCCCCCCCCCGGGACCTCGGCCCACGCCGCGAGGTTGATCCCCAACTGGTCGGGCGACGGCGGCGAAAAGGCGCCTTGAGAAACTAGAACGTTTGCTTGCGCTTCTTCACGAATGCGCCTGGTGGATTCAATATATTCGTCGACCTTCTGCTGTATGTCCGCGCCCTCTTTCTCCAGCGCTTCCAGCTCCACGACGATGGTATCTTGGCGCTGCTCCAGTTGAAGAATACGTTGTCCAAGGCGCTTGATCTCTCCTTCAGCCTTCTGCGTGAGGGTGGACGGCGCCTGCCTGCTGTCTCGGATGTTACGGGATTCATCGAGGAGACCTCCCAAGACATGTTTTGACTTGGGCGGTAGTACATCTCGGTATTTTCTATCAGCACCTTGTACAAGTTCACTGAGTAGTTGTAGGCCTCCTCCTCCTTTACCTTTTCCTTTGCCCTTGGGGTCGCGGTCACTTCGCTTGCCTCATCAGTCCTTGGAGGCCAGAGGGTCAGTCAATGTCCACGGGCGGAACTTTTGGCAGCCATTCATGGCAATGGTGGCACCACTTGTAGTGACTTGGGTTCTTGGCGCACCCGCAAGACGTACATTTGACAAACACACTGCCAAGCCGATAAACCCAGCCAGACTTGCCCTTGCCGCCCTTGGAGCCCATGGCTGGCGGCGGTGCTGGTGTCGGTGGCACACTTGTACCGAAATCGGTACAAATTCATCAGCAGGAGCTCACTCAGCAAAAACTGGCCGAGGCAACCAGGCCTGGGAAGGGGCTGCCCTTCCACCTCGGCCTCGAGCCTCTGGAGTCGGGACGGGGAGGTAAGCTCCCGTCTTGAGCCAAAATGGTTACGACGCCTCCTCTTGCTCCTCTTGCTCCTCCTCCTCCTCCTCCTCCTCCTCCTCCTCCTCCTCCTCCTCCTCCTCCTCCTCCTCCTCCTCCTCCTCTTCCTCCTTCTTACCCCCTGTCGCGCGGCTTGGCGTTACAACGCACGTGCGCATCTCAGCGTGCACCGCAGAATGGTCGATTGAATCGGACCACTTGGTTCTCGGACGGCCAATTTAGCTGGAACCTCCTAGACGCAAAAGGGAGTTTGGGTGAAGCGGACGGACTCGGGTGGACTCGTACATTCCAGCGGCGTTCCTATGTCCACGACGATGTGTTTTCCATTGTTTCCTCTGGAGCCCACACGCGCTCCAGTTTGTCACATGGACTCCTTCTGAAATTCTATACACAACAATGGTGCTGTGTTGCACACGGGTGATGTGGTGCACACAGGCGCCGTGGCGTACACAAGCGCTGCAATGCACGCAGGCATTGTGGTGTACACTGATGCTGTGTTGCGCACGGCTGATGTGGTGTACGGAAGCGCTCTGGTGTACACAAGAGCTGTTGTGCCCGCAGGCACGGTGGCACAACATGACGCTGTGTTGCACGCGGCGGCTGTGGTGTACATCGGCGGCGTGGTGTACACAGGCGCTGTGGTGCACGCGGGCACTGTGATGTACACAAACGTTGTGGTGCATATCGCCACCTACATGTTCGTGCTACCCGTCCTCCGTCATTCCTAAGCATTCCCAGACGCCGCCAGCGCGAAACGTGATGTCATCGACCCCCTCCCCCCCAGATGATTGCCGCCATCGGCCCGGACTTAAAAACAGGCTCCAGCCGCGTCCGCGCGCACGACGACGATGAGCGACGAGCGACGAACCATGAGCGACGACGACGGACGACGACGACGACGACGACGACGCCTGCGGACCGGATACCTATCCGGATTCCTACGCGGACACCTACGCGGATCCCAATGCGCCCGGCGGCAGTGCCCGGAGCGCACTGTGGGGGAGCGTTACGTCATAGGGGGGGGGGGGCGAGCGGGGGCCATGACGCCCGTCATGCCCCAAGCAATAAGAGACGGGCTCTCGGCAACAATAGAACGCGCGCGCGCCATGGAGGAGAAAAAAGGCGAGAAAATGAAACTTGAGCCCAAATGGTTCCGGAAGGCGTTGCCTCCAAAATGAAACGTTGTTCGAGCATTCCGCGTGCATCTTTCGATTTCGTGCGTGTACGTTTCCGGAAGAAGATCCAAGATCCTCCTCGATGATCCTGACCGAGAAAAATGGCACACGTCCGAGCGATGCTAGGAGTGAGAAACCATCGCCAAGGGCAATCGCGACCCCTGGCGTCGCAAGCGCCCAATGAGTGGCGATGAAAGTCGGGTCTTGCGCGAGATGGCACGGCGACCTTGCGCGACGGCTTTCGCGGGCCGCCAGCGCGGCACGCTGCACTGGAGACGCAGGCGCTTATGCGCGACCTTACGCGGGCAGCTTACGCTCGAATGCTGGCGAAGACGACCCCGATTTTTGCGTCGTTCCTATGCTTTTCGTCAGGGTACCCTGGGTTTCTTCGCTCCGCGCGCTGCGCTGCGCGGTGACCTCTCGCGGCAGTGAAAGAAGCTGCTGGGTTCAGGGCGCTTCGGGCTTCCCCTCAGGTGCGCCTTACGCGCCAAGACGCTGGGAGAAGGAACAGTTTGGATTCGGAAGGGGCTCGATGTTCCTTACGTCCTTCCGTGGTTGTTCCTCTAGCCCTTCTCGTGCACCCAGGTTTTTTTGAAGCCAGAGAGGGGCTTCGTTCCATCTTTAGCGTTCCTTATTTCAGCAGCCAGACTGTATGCTTACCTGCAGCGCCGGCGGACGCAGGCGCGTTTGCGGCGCCTGGCGGGGCGCGCGGCGCTGGGGCACAGCAGTGCGGCTGGCATGGCAGAGGGCGGGCTCGCGGAGCGGGGCCGATGCACAACGCGCGCGCGCGCGAGGAACGCACCACCTGCGCGGTGGACTGTGGCACCGCGCGGTGGACAGGAAAACGAACGACGCCACCCCACCTGCGGCTGCACGGGGCTTCGCGTATGCCAGGAGACCCGGCGTGGGCTTCTGCGTGGTACACGCTGCGGCCCCCGATGGGCCGCAGCGCAACATGGAAGAAGGCCGCAGGTGGCGTGGTGGCGTTTGCGTTTCGGTCGGTGTGATCGCTCCAATACGGCCCACGAGGCCCCAATGATTGCCCCATGACTGCATACGAGGCCTCCGGAGGGCGCCGAGCCTAGAAACCCAACATGGCCCAAGCGGCGTCCAAGAGGGCCCGAGAGGGCCCCCTAAAACGCCCCCGAGAAGCTCCGAGCGCGAGCACGAAGCGAACGTTCTACCTTACCGCCCCAAGACGCTCCCAGGAGGCCCTCTCTTCCCCGCCCTAAAACCCCGCATTCCCCCCCTCCACAAGAAACTTCCGAGAGGCTCCCAACAAAGACTCACAAGGCCGCCCAACAGCCCTCAGAAGCCCCAAGACGCTCTCCAAGAGCTCCCGAAAGGCCCGAAGGGCTCCCAAACGCCCAGTCCACCCAAGAAGACGAGTGTGTCCCCATACAGCCCCCAGACGATTCTGAGTGGCCTCCACAACGGCTAACCTTGCCCAGGATACAATGCGAGACGGCCAAAGTTGCTTCCAAGAGACAGCCAAGTCACTTCCACAATGTCCAGGATGGCGCTGTCTTGCAACCGAGGAAGTCCACGATTGCCTCAATGATCAGAGAACGCCGATGACGGCCGCACGAGTGTTCAAAGAAGGTCCGACGTAGCCTCGTGATGCAGGTGGCGCGGACAGCGAGTCCAGTTCAAAATGCGCAAGAGCTGCTGTAAGACATCGTACCCATGATTTCAATACCCGTTCCGATCGTCCCGATGCCCCACCTCGCCGTCCCCGGTATTCCCCTCCCGGCGTGGCCTGCTCGTGCATGGCCCACGAGAGGCGGTCTTCGTGACCTCCAGAATTGCGCTGCGCGTTGAATGCAGGCTCCCCCCTTATGGCTGAGAGAGAATCATCGGAATATGGTAGGCTGGTGTTGTAACGCAATCGGCGTTGACCATTCACACCGCCAGGATCTGTCCACTTTGAACGATCGCGGCTGTCAAATACTGCAGACTGTTCGATGCCGGCCAAATTTGGACCATTGGAGACATTTTCCCTTCAACATCCGCGTTTGGGTCGCCAATGCGTCGGCACGGCGCCATCCTGCCGCAGCTACGGTTCGACATGCACCCTCTGGAAGGCTTGAAGATCGAAAGCTCACGAATGTGCACACGCACGTGTGTACTAGAGCGACGCACCTTTTGCAAGTAGCTGCTTGGACTCCAATTCGGCTCCTATCGGTTCGGCTTCGTTGGACCTGGGTGGAGCATGTTTTCTGGTGGTCGCTTGGACTGCTGTGAGGTTCCTACGTGCGGACACGGATTCGCTGGCCACAGTGCGTTCTCAGTCCTATTAAATTTCTGTCCCCAGCACAGCGCGTGCACCGAAGGGCTCTAACTTGGCCTCTACAAGCTGGACATGGGAGCCTCAAGTTTTTCGGTGGGCTCGCATTCCTATGTATTCCCGTGATCTTCCACCTGAAGGTACGTGGACCGCGCTCGTGCTTGTGGCGACGTGAATGACCATGGACTCCCATGTTCTCCAGTAGACCTGTGTGTGGTGGCCGATTGGGTCCGCATGGATGTTCGTGTTGGTTTCTGGTACTGCGCTCAACACTTTACAGCAACTCCCGTGCGGTATTTAGGCAGCACGCGTGCAAACGTCGGGCGACAACGTCTTTGCACTGCGGCGGCACGCGGTGTACCCGAGGGAAGAGTTGTGCGTCCAACGCAACCCTCTGTGGCCCCAACCCTGCTGAACAAATGTGATATGTGACGACAGCACACGATCCGTGAGACGGCCTCGGCGGGGCATGCCCCGAGGCCTCGGCGGTAGCACTGCGAAAAACCACGCGGCAAAGGGCGACGCCAACTGTCCCCCGCCGATCTTGACGCAGACCCCACGCTGCCGAAGGACATCGACAGGCAGGGGGGGGAGGGCGTAGAGGGAAAGGCGGTGAGAGTGCTAGACGCAAGGAAGGGGGCTGCGCTGCACACATACATACACACCGACGAGGCGATGGGGCGCAACGACGAGGTGAGCACTGCTGCGGGCCTCGCTGGACGAGACTGAACACGTTGTCTGGAAATAAACAACAAATCTGTTTCCGAATGGGCGTCCGAGGGCGTCACACACACAACCACTCGCACACACGCACAAACACACACACACGCACACACACGCACACACACGCACGCACGCACGGACGCACACGCACGCATACTCACACGCACACGCACACACACACACACACACGCGCACACACACACACACACGCGCGCACACACACATACACACATACGCACACACACACACACACGTACGCGGACGCACACACGCACACACGCACACGCACGCACGCCGAAAAACACACACACACACGCGCACACACACACACATTCACACACGCGCACACAACCGCACACACACAAACACACGCACACACACACGAAGGTACACACACACGCACATGCACACACGCACGCACGCACGCACGCATGCACACACACACACACACTCACACGCACACGCACACACGCACGCACACACACGCACACATACACACACACACGCACACACACACGCACACACACACACATACACACGCACACACACACACACACACACACACTCCGACAAAGCGATTGGGCGCAGCGACGAGGTGAACATTGCTGCGGGTCTCGCTGGCCGAGACTTGAAAAGGTTGCCTGGAAGTAAACAGCAAATCTGTTTCCGAATGACCGTCAAAGGCATCACAAACACACATACACACGAACACACACACACACACACACACACTGAGCGCAAGCGGCAAGGGCAAAATGCCGGAATATAGATCTCCTGAATGAAGTCCAAGCTGATGGGGTCGGAAGATCGCGCCGCATCGCAAATGCATCGACGACGCATCAGCGATGCATCGGCGACGTCGGCGATGTATAAGCGACGCTGGCGTGGAGAAAATCGGGCTCCACATCGAGCCGCATCGCCGATGCATCACCGATGTGGCGCGATCCTCCGACCTCATCTACTCGGTAGGAGGCCTAGACACAAAGACGATCCAAGGTCACCGAAACGGGCCGCGCCCTGGCAAACAGGGCAGCAGCAAGGCTACAACATGTGATCGTTCTCATATTCATTGTTCTGCCGATCGGCGCAGATACTGCGTGACATGCGCCTGTTGGGAGAGCGCGTGCTGTATGATATGAACGACTCTGTCAAGGACTGGCAGTGTTGGTGCAGGCCCTCGCCTGTTTCGAGCAGGCGGAGTCTCCCCTAGAGGACGCACTGCTGCAAACAGTGGCATCCAGCAGAGGTCCGGAGCCTGACACCCCGCCCCCTCCCCTACCTTCCGAGAAATGTCGAAACGGCGAATACGAAAACGCTCACCATCGGGAGCCTCGCGGGCTTCCACCAACCGTGCACGGCAAGGGGACGAGACCACGGGCACTGGGGGGAGGCAAGAGAGCGGGGCATGGACGCCTGCAGGGCCGCGCCCGGGAGCGCTGACAAGCAGGCGGGGGCGAGCGAGTCAAGCTCGTCAGACTGTGGCAGTGGGGGGGCGTATGGCGGCCGCCAAACGTGGAGCGAGCTGGGCGCGACATCCGCGCGAGGGGCCCGAGGACCGGAAGAGAAACCAGATGCTAGCGGGGGGGCCCCCGCGGGTGTCGCACGATCGTGAACTGATAGCCGCTCATCGTCGCTGTGAGGCAGGTCGTCCTGTAGATTTGGCGGCTGCGTGAAACGCGGGAGTCACACCCGCACACACGCGCCAGCACATAAACACACGCACACACGCGCAAGCAAACACAAACACCCACACGCAAACACACACACACACACACGAACACACATATATCTATACATAGACACAAGCAACCAAAAACACACATACACACAAACACGCTCAGGCACACGCACACGCACGTACACAAACACACGCACACACGTGTTCCTCCAGCGGCCGAATGACGTCACCGCAGCAAGAGCTAAGGCGGGGCTTGCTCAGCATAAATCCCACCTGAGGTTGCAAAAGGTTGGACTACACGGGGCGAATCGCGTGCAGAAGCAATGGGCGTGGCTGCGCCAGGCGAGCTCACGTATCGGAAAAAACATGCACCGTGCATGGAGAGAAGTCACAAAGCCAGCGAAGATAGAGTGCCGAGCAGCCCAAAAAAGCTCTGCAGCACACGCACTCACACGTGCACGCACACACCACAAGCAAACATGTCTTCCTCGGCGAGCGCGTGCTCGGCGCCGCGCATGTCACGGCGGTGCGAGAGCAACAGGGCCGATATGGGGAGACACGAGCACAAACCCACGCGAACGCGAGAGCAATACACTCATCTTCACACGGCAAATAATCACCTCCACGTTCTCCCAGCATGCTGCCACGAGGCCTCCGCTAGACTGCTCGAGGCGGGCGTCGTTGGCTCGGAGAAGCATGCCGAACTCGGGCAACTTCTCCATCCTCTTGCGCAACTGCGCGCGCTCCTGGGCACGGCTACATGCAATAACAGGCCTACGTTGGCAAGAATGACCTTTGGTGCGCGGCTCTAGGGGGCGCGGGAAGGCAAAACCAAAGCGTGCGAACCGCTACTGTCGCATCGCATGCAGCGAGCGGGGGACCCCATTGGTAACATGTGGAAGGTGGAGGATGATGAGAAGGTGGAGGGGACCAGCTGTTCCTCCCCCTCCCCCTCCCCCTCCCCCTCGCCCACCCCCCCTCCCCCTCCCCTACTCTCCTCTCCTGCTCCTCCCTCCTCCTCCTCCTCCTCCTCCTCCTCCCTCGTCCTCCTCCTCCTCCTCCTCCTCCTCCTCCTCGCCTCCTCCTCCTTCCGCCTCCTCCTCCTCCTCCTCCTCCCCTCCTCCTCCTCCTCCTCTCCTCCTCCTCCTTCCTCCTGCCGTCCTCCTCCTCCTCCTCCTCCTCCTCCTCCCCCTCCCCTACCCTCCTCCTCCTCCTCCTCCTCCTCCTCCCTCCTCCTCCTCCTCCTCCTCCCTCCTCCTCCTCCTCCTCCTCCTCCTCCTCCTCCTCCTCCTCCTCTCCTCCTCCTCCTCCTCCTCCTCCGCCTCCTCCTCTCCCCCTCCCCTCCCTCACCTCCTCCTCCCCTCCTCCTCCTCCTCCTCTCCCTCCTCCTCCGTTCCTCAACATCCTCCTCCTCCCGCCGCCTCCGTCCGCCTAGTCCTCCGCCTCCTCCCCCCTCCTCCTCCTCCGCTCCCTCCTCCTCCTCCGCCTCCTCCTCCTCCTCCTCCCCTCCGCCTCCTCCTCCGCCTCCGCCCCCTCCTCCTCCTCCTCCTCCTCCTCCCTCCTCCTCATCCGCCTCCTCCTCCTCCTCCCTCCTCCTCCTCCGCCTCTTCCGTCCTCCCCTCTCCTCCTCCTCCTCGCCCACCCTCCCCCTCCCCCTCCCCCCCTCCTCCTCCTCCCCCCTCCCCCCCCCCCTCCCCCTCCCCCCCGCCCCTCCTCCTCCCCCTCTCCCCGCCCCTCCCCTCCCCCTCCCCCTCCCCGCCCCTCCTCCCCCTACCCCTCCCCCTCCCCCTCCCCCTCCCTCCTCCTCTCCTCCTCCTCCTCCGCCTTCCTCACGCCTCCTCCTCCTTCCTCCTCCTCCTCCCCCTCCTCCTCCTCCTCCTCCTCCTCCTTCTCCGCCTCCTCCTCCTCCTCCTCCGCCTCCTCCGCCTCCTCCTCCTCCTCCTCCTCCTCCTCCTCCTCCTCCTCCTCCTGCAAAACCCCGAGGAGGGTTCTGCGCGGGAGCTCGGCGACAGCGATGACGACCGGTCACCTTTTTACCTCATCACGGCGAAGCAAGTCTCGGTAGCTTCAGCCGTTCACTACTTGAGCCAAACGGTAACGGGGACACCTTCACTCCCCAGTCACCTGAATGCTCACATGTTAACACCCCCCCTCGGACGCTAGTCCGCATAGGCTGACGGGGAGGCGTCAACAATTACGAAAACAGGTCAAGCTAGACAAAACGTCGCACGCAAATGACGTTAAGCCTCAAGTCTCTTCATCACACTGTTGAATTCGAAATGTCTCGTGACGGCGCTTACGAGCACCAAGTTTCTCACACATGTAACCTGAGCTCGAGTAAACACTTTTACTGCCACAAGTTCAAACGAAGCATCTAAAGTTTACACAGCAAGCTAGCATTTGGATGAGTTTGGCTGCTTTAGCTTTTTATTCGCCAATACCTGCGGTAACAACAAGAGATGCGCGTGCAAACAAACTCAGCTCAACAGGCTGCTGCCGCTCGATCGTTAAGCCAAGTCAAGAGGGGAGATGAGGAAGAGCGTGAACTGCAGCATGTTGACTGCCTGCCATCTTTCACGGACGGCGCGGGCGCCTCGCCGACGGGGCCCGCGAAAACCCTCGACCTCGGCAACCCGCGATGGCCCACACCGGCTGCGGTGTAGGACGACACCCTGTTAAGGGCCTGCATCTGGTTGTAGTAATCGTCGCCCATGTACGCGTTAATGCGCTCCTCGTCGTAAAGCCAGCACCCCTCATCGTGGCTCTTGATTGAGCCGTCAACGATGTTGTGGTAAGTGCCGATGGCTCTCCAGTAACTGGCGTGGGGAGCCTTTAACAGAGGCCCATCGCCTGGATTGTTACGGAGGTGCTCTTCGACCGCAGCGCCGGTAAACGGGTTCACAGTCCAGGCCGGATCGGTAAGCCAGTTGGGGAAGTCGTCGCACGGTAACCAGCCAAACCAGCAAAGCTTCTCACGGTGATCGCTTTTACGCTCGGTGACATGATCGGCCGGCCAATTATCACGGTAAAGTGCCCTCATGGATCCCTGATCGTTAAGGGCAACTTCCAAGACGGTCTGGTGCCAGTAGACTGGAGGCTTGCTCATCCTGCCCTTTAACTCCGCGGTGCTCCTGACCTCGAGGCCGTCGATGTAGTAGTTACGGCAATGCACCTGGAGCCCGTTCATGTAACGGCAGTAAAGCCTGGCAAGATCGGGCGTCGCAAAGCGAATCGCGGTAACTCCAGTCGAGATGTAACCGTGCGGCCCATGGGTGTCCTCCACCAGGTGCTTAACGGAGATGACGGTGGGGTTGCCGTGGGGTAGCATTCCTGCCCACGTTAAGAGGAGGCCGTCAAGCTGCTTCTCGTTCATCTCCGGCACCTTGTTGACGTACACTTGCGTGTCCGCGCAACTGTGGTGCTCAAACCACGATGGGTGAAGCTCTTTAAGGTGGAGCGGTGGCACGTAGTCATCGTCAAATAGAGACTGCACGTGCCCAACCGCGTCAACCCATTCATCATGCTTGGCCAACTCTTTGTCCGTTAACTGAGACCTCCAGCTGATCGGACCTTTCAACACGGCATAGCCGATGAAACCGCAAGCGCGTTGGCCGAAGATGTCAACGAACACGTCCTCGTAATCGTTAAGCTCCCGCCCGGTGTTGCCCTGAATGGCCCTGCCGCCAGGGGTCGTTAACCCCGCCTTCGCCACGTGCCCGACGAAGTTACCCTCAAACTTGCGCCAGTTATCACGTGTCTTCATCGTTAAGGCTACCACATCCCTGGGATCAGGTGCCGCCCGAAAGTTGACGTCGTAGTCGTCGCTCCTGTTGTTCAGCATGGACATGCGACCGTTGACGTGGTACAGCGGGCGGTAAGTGGTGTCCTTGGCGACGATCCTGGAGTGCCTCTCAACCTGATCAATCGCGCGGTTAACGACCTGAGGCTGCGGCGGCGGGATGTGCTGGAACGGTAACCTCTTGGCCTCTGGAGGCGGGGGCTTCGCGCCGGTAACGCTGCTTGCCGCTCCGGACTCGCCGAACCCGGAGGGGGCGGCTTGGCCGGCATCGCGTTTACGACGGGAGCAGGATTCTTTGGCGCCTCATCACGTTGACCACCAACCGTTCGATCCTCGTCCATCTTGATGCCTATCTGCCTCAACTCCTCCAGCTCCCGTTGACGTTCACGCATGGCCTTCGGCGCCCGCTTGTACGCAGGCTGTGGCTCTTCACCGCCCTGCGGGCTCAACGGTGACGCTCGAATCTTGTTCGGCGACACGGACCGCCGACTCCCCCCGGCTTTAGCGGTTACGCCGGCCAGGTCCTGAGTAGGGGGAGCCTTGCCTGGCGGAGCCACGTTAACCTGCTGCGCTGGGGGCGCGCCCGTGGCCATGGGCCCGGCTGCCGCGGCGGCGGCAACGGGCGGCGCCTTGGCGGGCGCTGCCGTCGGGGGCGACCAAGGCAACGGCGGCGGCGCCGGCGGAATATCGGTAACCGAGGAGTTGATCGGGTCATCCAAGAACTTCTGCAAACCCTCAAGCCTCTCGGTAACCCCCATTAGAATACGTAGCGCTGCATCACGTTTACCTTCGAGGTCCTGCAGGGGCGTGATATTCTCGGTAAGGCGCCTGGCGGTAATCAAGAGGCAACCGATATTTTCGTTAATGCGCCGGTACTTGGTTGCATTCTCCGCCGCGTTAACCTCCGAGTCGCGATTCTTGATGTTCAACTCTGTCACCATCGCCACAAGGTTGTTAACCTCGTCCTGCGCCCTCTTGAGGTTCTCGTTGACATCGTCGTTGGCGTGAACCAACGCGGTGTTCTGCTGCGTTAAGTCAACGATCCTCCGCGCCATATCATCGGTGACCCTCCTGCATCTCGTCAACGTGCTTATCATAGGCCCCGTGGAAGTTAACGGCCATGTTGGTGAGGGTCATGGTGAACGCACGAGCCACGTTGACGATATCGTCGACGCGGCGATTGAGGTTCTCGCGCGTAACCGGCCCTGCCCCAGGCGGGCTCTGGTCGACCGCCGCGCCGTTGATCGCGACGTTGACTTGCTGGTCCGCCATGCTTTCGTTCACGCTCGAGGGAAAGAGGTGTAGGATGGAGGAAGCTTTAATCAAGACAGCTTGCCTGACAGAAATGAGCTGCGGATGTCAACACTCGGTGGCCGGCGCAAGGCTGCGCCGACCTGTTAGTGCGCTTTGGTTTGTGTTTAGCAGATGTGTGCTCATACTTTCACGACTGACATACTTGGTTAATGCATCTGCTACGTTCTCATGGGTACCCACTTTCGCAATTCGAATGACTCCATCCTTTACCTTCTGCTGCAACCACAGTTGACATACTTCAATGTGTCTTACTTTTCCTAAACCTCGTCTACTCGCAATCGCGATTGCAGCCGTGGCATCACTTTTCAAGGCGAGCTCAACTTCCAAGTTAAAATCCCCCAACACTGCCTGAAGTCCCAGTCCGACTGATCCTCCTTTCACAAGGCCGTAATACTCTGCTTCCCCCGACGATAATGCAATTACACTTTGAGTTGTGCTCCAAGATTTGGTAAGGTGTTTACCCCACATCACTACTCCTCCACTCGTAGACTTCCTAGTTCGTTTACATCCTGCGTAATCTGTGACTGTCCAAATCGTCAACTCTCGAGGCTGCTCTTGATACTGATACACGTAACTGCTTCTACTGTGATACATCAAATACTTTCCTAGCTTGACTAGACCTTTCCACGAACC